CCAACTCCACAACACACAACCACCACCACTGCCACTATAGCGCAATAGTCTTTTTCCCAATTTTCAACTCACCTTGACCCCCACCTAATGCCTTACTATTATTTAGTCATATTTTGATTGAACATTTTTGTTCCTACAGCTTTTATTTCCTGTCATGATTCCTAAATCAGTTTCTACTTCTAATATCGTACAGTTCTTTGAACCAAACACAGTTGATAATATATACTCTTAAGCAAGTGTTTATGATTAAAACTGAAGTGTGAGATGAGGAAACTTCAAGGAAAAGTGCTCTTACTGTCTTCCTTTAGGGATCGAAACCCTACCAGCCACTGCTGTCAAGTTGATTCGACGCAGTGAAGATCTTGTATGTGGTTTCCAAGACTCAATTTTTACAGGAGCAAACAGTCTCATCTTTCTCCTGCAGGGCAGCTGGTGGGTTCGAACCACCAGCCTCAGAGTTAGCAGTCCAGTGCCTAACCCACAGTGCCACCAGGGACCAGGGCTCCTTAGGAATCACAAGAATGCATTGTTACTAAGTTCTGCCATTGTGCGGAGTCCTGGTATGGCACAGTGGGGTAATGCGCTGGACTGCAAAGTCGGTTTGAACAGCAAGGTCGGTGCTTTAAGCTCACCAGCCTCCTCAGAAACCCTATACATGGTCACTATGGATCAAAACCAACTCAACGGCACTTAACAACAACAACAACAACCATTGTATGTCGGGAGAAAGATGAACATTTCTGCATCCGCAAAAATTTGCAGTCTCAGAAACCCTGTATAGAGTGGCTATGAGTTGGAACCAACTCGATGACACTTAACAATAACAACCATTGTATGTGGAGTCATAGGGTGTTACAAATGGTTGGCTGCTAACTCAAAGGCTGGCTAACCAAAATGGTAGCAGTTCCCAGCAGTTGGTTTTTGTTTTTTTGTTTTTATGCAACAACTTTTAAAACGATAATTTTGAATTATTCCTTGTTCATTTTATTTCAGAAAGTGGTAAAATAGCTGTGGAGTATACTCCCAGTGAGGAAATCATAGATTCCAGAACCGAAGAAGAACTCCAGGAGTTCATTCATGTATGTGAAGATGCATAGCTAGTGTGGCCATCATACCAAACACCCAGCAGGATTGGGAGAACTCAGACACTCACATAAAGCTGTCAGTCCTATGAGAACATGAAATTCTGAAACTGATTTTCAGGGCAAGTCATTCCTAGGGCTTTTCCTGAAGCCTTGGCCCCTTAACTCTGATTCTTTATCTAAAGTTTGGAGAGCATGATTGAGAAGCATCAGAGCACTCTGGCAGCTGTGGACAGACCTAAAGAGTTCTTAACCCCTAAAAAGGTCGTTCTCCCTCTTTAGGGGTTAAAAATGTGAGGCTGCTTGAACCAGGCCTTTTAGAACTTCCCTCAAACAGGATCCCAGGGGTTAGAGGACTAAAGAACTATGAATGTAAGTGTGAATGGGCTATAACTTTTGAAAACTGTTACGCCTTTCAAGTAAGGTGTATTGCCTAGATCTCAGAACCTCATGTCTTATATGAAAATGAAATGGTGTGCTGAAGGAATTTTTGTAATTATTCTATTGTCTTAATTAAGCATAAATCTGCCAGGATCATATCTAAAAGAAACTTTGTTAACTGTAGGATTATTTTCTTTAATAATAATGATAATAGCAGTGAAGTTGGGAGCAGAAAGATGTGTTTCATTAACTTGGATCAATGGGAGCTTCACTGAGTTGCTGGATGTTTGATTACTTAACTCACCCCACAGGTGCAAAGTGTTTTGTTTTGAAG